TAAAAAGCAGCAGAATTGAGCACTAATAGTAGAAGGCAAACTTTTTGTCCGTAAAAAACACCAGCTGGTGCTAAGCTAGCACATAATTGCATTTTCTGATACCATAGCCAAGCGTTCGCTGCAAAAAACTCATGCTCTACACCCCTTGTCTGTCACGCGCACTTGGCTTTGATAAGAAGTACAATCAAAGAATTAAATGATTTCTGCTTTTTCAATTCTGCGTTGTATTATATACGAATGCAAATTCTCGGGAAAGAATCAAGCGAAACAGGAAGGTTGGCTTGAGCGATGGCGGGTTTTGTAGAAAAGCACGATAAAGAAATTAGAATGAAACTAGAATTCCTGATCTTTAAACTTTTGACAACTTCTAAAGTGTAGGATGGGACTTTTTCTTTTTTTTACAACAGAAGAATAGAATTAGACAAAAAACAGTCGATTCTCTTACTAGGAGCACGTCTTCCTATTTAAACGGCATACTTCGGCTCATTGTGCTCTGGGCTATCGAATGTCATGTTAGATGTTGAGACATTTTTTCAGCTTCCAAAAGTCTTACCCCCGCAATCCATGACAGCCATGACATCGAAGAAAAAACGAGAAGTCCACATCGACTTCTTATGTTTTGGGTTTTCGTATGATAAATCAAATGATGATTATGCATCGAGTGATGGGTAAAGCTTTCCTGCATCGATGAAAGTTCGATAAGGTCTAAGGCATTAGCTGGATTGTTCGGCTCTATAAATCTTGGTCTGCCTAGTCTTGTGACTGTGCCTGCAAGCCGCACTCGAAATTGATAAGATACTTAGCTGATGTTTTGGCAATTCGCCATCTTCAGAACCCGGAATAGACAAAACGACAGCAACTTTTTCGTCCAAATGTCTCTGCAGCTCAGCAAAGTTTCAGTACCATACCTGATTACTAATTGGACTATCGGAGCAAACCAAACCTTTAACGTTCATGTGTGGGCTTTTCGCGTAAATCCAAAAGGCTTTCAAACACTTGCGAGCTGATGGGGATAAGGCGCTGTGTTCTTCACTACAACTTCGAAGTTATTTTTTCGACTTGTTTCAAAGTCTGTGAATGCCTAGAGTTGTGCTCGTACGTGATCCGTTTCTGTAGTTCAAGTGCTTTCACTGAAGCATAGGTGCGATAGGGGGAGCAGAGTCCCCTTCAGGTGAAGGGGGTTTCGGCTATTTCTGACTCAGAAAAGTGAAGGGGGTAATTGAATCTGAGATGAGTGCTGACCAGGCTTACATGTCTAACGGGAGCGGGAGTGAAAAGAAGGAAAATAAGCTGTATAGAGGTGTAAAATGAAGATTTTCTCAATGCTTAGGCTTTGAAGGTCATCTAACAGAGACTTTTGACTCGGAAAAGCTTTGTGTTTCATCAGTCGACATACCATTCGAAAGCTTGAGATAGAATCGACTCTTTCAACTCTCCTGTGAGTACACATATAAGAAATCATATCTAGCTTCAGCAGCAGCTGATTTTATGCAATCACTTTACGCTCCATTTCTGAGAGAAAGAGGAGACCTAGAAAAAAAGAGACGGTCTACATTTACTGGCAAGGTCTTGCTCTGTGCTACTGTTAGAAACTCAGGCACCTTCATTCATTCTTCACGCAGGAATTTCTTGACAAAAACACACATGTTTTTAGCTAAAATGCCATGTATCTCTGAGTAGAGGGGAGCTAGAGAAAAAGAGATGGTCTACGTCGAATCCTTGTTTCGTGAGCTTTCTAATGGTGTAAAGGTTGTTGGGTGAAAAAACTCGTGGTTTTTAAAAATTGAGGTGGAGATATTCAATACTAACTTGCACCACCCTACTCCGGCTTTCTATGGGTAGCCGGAGCAAGACTTTTTTGGAGTGGGAAAGCTTTCTACACCAACATTTTATAAGCCACTTGATAGCTCAGAACACAAGCAATCGACGTAGACTGTCTCTTTTTTCATAGCTTTTCTGTGAAGCGAGATACGAGCAGTTTTATCTAGCTACAATATCAGTCAATTCTGGATGATTATCTATTCAAAGCAAGAAGATTTTTTTCGAACTTTTATATATGATTCGAAAGCTTGAGAAACGAGTAATCTAACTGCTCCCTTATCTGTTATTATTCTCTCTTTGAAAGGAGATACGGTACGATTTTTGTCAGTAAACATGTATCCATCACTAGTTAGTCCAGATTTTCTACTCTTGCTCCACTCTTTTTTTGCGACAGCGTGCATTCATTGATATAATGTTAATTACTCATAGAATTAGACATTCTTTAAACTTTTGATTATGTTTCGTTATCAAGGCCACTTTGAGTGCGCAAAAGATTTATAGCATACGTTTTTTCAACAAAATGCTGACGAAAAGTGCCGTTGTAACAGCTATTTGATTCTGCCGTACCTTGATTCAGGTCTCAACCTCAGGTGGAAGGGGTCAGCGAGATACCGGCTTTGAAGTGAAGGGGGTCAGAGAAATTTCTCCACCTATCGCATCTATGCATTGAAGTACATGTCGCCGTAGTCTGAGCAGTTACGGAGCTTATCAAATGTTGTGTCAGGTGCATTAGCATCTCCACTCCCGCGCGAAATTTTGCACCCTTCCACGAACATGTTCTCTAATCATGTCCAGATTGAGACTCCCCTTTCCCATGCTCGCTTTGAAAAAATTGTTCAGAAAGCACGTTCGCAAAAGAGGTGCAGAGCTCCGGGCAAAGCGGCCGCGCGGGAGCGGAGATGCTGGTGGTCCGACACCATGTGAGTCTCCGCCCTTGCCTGCAGGGCAGGTAATGCATGAAGAGTCTAAGGCCTCGGACAGAGTTCATGCGATTTTATCGTCGCGATTTAATCGCCACGATTTCCATTCTTTCCATTTTACATTCAAAAATTTCGAGCTGGAAAAGTATCACAACCGAAATGCAAGCTAATCGGCATGCAATGAACTCGTAACAGTTGTCTTGTAGCGATTGAATCGCGACGATTGAATCGCTTGAACTCTGCCCGAGGCCTAAGGCGCGATCGTAGATCCGAGTAAGGGTAAGAATACCTCTTAAGTTATTTGGGAAGCTTCCAATTTTTGTATCATGCCGTCTTCATATAAACTGTGCAAATTTTCGTTAATTTCTTAGCTTCTTTACAATTTTACACTTTGTGACTTTACAGTGCGTAAACTCTGCTTTGCATAGGCTCGTACTGGTTTCACAAGCTATATGACTTCCTCATACTTGCTTTTTAATGGCTTTTAAATCCGCCAAACAATGCTGGCCGTTACGTATAAACTGCAAAAAAATACTCATTTCAAAAGAGTTTCATGTACAATACCGCTCGTAATTTGTGAAAAGAGTTGGCTGTGGCTGCCGATCAGGGGTAACCGCCGTGCATCGCCATATTTCAGTTCAAAGTGCGTGGATTCTGAATCCAAAAACATCGTTTGACTCAACTTGATGGGGCACGCTAGGATTACGTTAGGCAGTCCATTGGAGCTAAAATTTTGAGAGGAACTGTAGTTGACTGCCTACCGTAATCCCGCCGCACTCTAGAGACTGGGCACTCGCCAAGCTGAGTCAGATGATGTTTTTGGATTTGGAATTTACTCACTCTGAACTGAGATATGGCGATGCAACCCAAATTTTTGCGAACTAGGTGTCGGCCACCTCAGCACGGCGTCTTCCGCCTGAGTTAAGAGTCTTTTCACAAATTACGAGCGGTATTGTATGATCGGTAACTTTGGAAAAGAAACCTTTGTGCCGAAGAATAATTCAAAATTTGCGTCTATTACCTAATCTGTTATAATTTGATAGTCGCCCCCCACCATGCTATGTCTATCATAATTTCACTAATGTAGGACACACCTTTTTCGATTTTTTAGGCGAGCCGCCCAGTCGCCTCGTTGTGTTTCTGAGAACCTGGTGCGGCAATAGCAGCACTGTGTATAGTTCTTTGGTCGCGAAGTCTTTCGGCGTGTTGTGTTGTTCGATTCTAGAAAAAAATCCCCGTCCTATACTCGTGAAATTATGGCAACTGAAAATTCTCAAAATGTCATTTTAGTCACTAAACCACTATAAATTGGACATTTTTGCTATAGTTTCTTTTTGGCGTCGGATTATTTCAAGTCACTTATCGAAGTGAATATAGCTAGATGCCGCCATAAGGACAACGACAGCCGTGGATTACATTTATGTGTAAAAATCTTCCCAAACTTTACGTGAAAACTTGGCAAATCTACCATCATCGTAGACTCCTTTTTGGCGTAAACATAGACTTTTTGCTCACTTTATGAGCCGAAGTCTGTGGTTTGCGTAGCTACTTGGTAGAGAAACTTCTGACTTGGCAAAATGTCCGGCCGCCGATCCACTTTGGGCCAAAAGTTGTGTGGGACCATTTGACGCATACTTTCTGAAGTTTCCTCCTATTTGATCGACTTGTGCTTTTGCATGTTTCCACACATGTTGATAAGATGCTACGACCGAAATTTCAGCCTAAAACCTTTGCTGTAACCCACTTTGCAAACTTCGTGACAGATGTAACCCAAGAAAACAAAAATTGCCCGTTTTTAAGGATAATGAAGCAAGTAAAACATGCTTATTCTCTCCCTTTACTTCATTGTGATTTTTGATGGGGTAATGTGACACAAAAAAGTGTGTTGTGTCAATTGTTGAATGAAGTTTGAATCAGAAATGACCAAGATCATCTACGCAAAAAACGTATTTTTCCAAGCAACACGCCTCCAATATATTACTTCATTTTAGCTTTCCAGTTTCATTTAACAATCAGCACTTTTTCCAAATTTTGGATAGAACCTGGTGAGGCTTGGTGTCTATTCGCACACAAAGCTGTACATATAGTCACTCCGAATCCATTCAATGTTCTCACTATATTCTTACACTAAGCTTTAAAAAGTGAATGGGAAGGAAGAAGTATACCGATTGCTAAATTGCTCGAGTCGCTTTCTTTATACAGCAGAAGCGTTTATACAGCGTTTAATATGAAAGTACACAACAGCATTATTGTTTTCAGCGTGCCAAGGAATAACATCAACAATTCCCACCGACCCAGGTCGAGGCAAAGTGCTCGCTGTTTTCAACGGGATTAGAAAGGATATAGTCAATGGAGTGGGCACGTGGAAGAAGGCAAAAAACATGTACAAACTGGTAAGTCTGCCCTGCTTGATCAACGAAATACATCTGACAGTGTTACGCACATCTCTATATTATCTAACTAGCTGGCATACCCGGCTCCGCCGTATGTTCCGAATAGAAAATTCCATTTCTTAACCGATCCGGACCAAACTTGGCACACATACACTTCGGGCCCCGGCGGGTGTCACAGTCCACTTTTCGTTATCGATCGATGTCGATTTTATCAATTTTTTGCAAAATTTGAGGTAGGGGGCTGGGATTTGGCACAGGGGGGTAATCGAGCATGCTGATTACGAATACAATATTAGTTTTCGAAACCGTGCATTACTTTTATCGATTTTATCGATTTTTTGCAAAATTTGAGCTAGGGGGCTGAAATTTGGCAGAGGGGTGTAATCGAGCATGCTGATCACCCCCACGGGGGTGATCAGCATGCTCAATTACCCCCCTGTGCCAAATCCCAGCCCCGTAGCTCAAATTTTGCAAAAAATCGATAAAATCGATATCGATCGATGACGAAAAGTAGCCTATGACACGCGCCGGGGCCCGAAGTGTATGTGTGCCAAGTTTGGTCCGGATCGGTTCAGAAATGGAATTTTCTATTCGGAACATACGTACAGACAGACAGACATACAGACAGACAGACAGACATACATACATACAAACAGACATTCAGCTTTATATTAGGTTGTGTAATAAGTTCGTTCGCATTTTTTGTTTCAATTTTCTCTCAGTATTTTACAAAACATTTGGCATAGTGTTAGTATGCATTCGGAAGCTCTAAGTCTACTCTACCAAAGTACTGTCATTATATTCCCAGCTTCTGAAAAGTTGAATAAAAAAATCGACTACAAACCGAAAAATCTGAAATGGCGAAAATCCCATTTTCGACAATTATGTTATGCCGCACCTTGAATGGGTTTGAGCGCTTAAGAAACAGCTCAAAAATTTTGCGACATGCATAAATAGAATACTATAGCTTCCGCAGATTACCTCTAATGCTAAAAACTTTAGAAAACAATTCATATTGTAAGCTCAAAAATGGTATGTTTTTTTATCTTTTTGGTGTCAACTTTAAGCATCTGAAGGCATCTCCTAAGAAAGGTGGTAGCCGAATAATCCAGGAATTGGCAGACATGTGGTCTATGATCGCTAAATCATCGAATAAATGGCTTATATAGTCAAAAATTCAGAATTCGAGGGACACATAGCCCACGGACGTAAGACAGCGAACACCGCTGCGGCAAAGCCTTGCTACGCCGAGTTTTGCAAAAATTGCATTAAACGGTCGGTGAAAGGAAATGGGCAATCGTAAATAGTATCAGTAAATGCACAAATTATTAGTCAGTTGTTTTTCTTCGTTGTCAAGCTTTTTGAATAAATTTCAACAATGAATAACGGGAAAACTACGGAAGGAAAAAGATGTCGAAAATGGGATTTTTGCCACTTCAGATTTTTCGGTTTGTAGTCGAATTTTTTATTCAAATTTTCAAAAACTGAAAATGTAATGATAGTATTTTGGTAGAGCAAGCTTAGAGCTTCCGAACGCATACTAACACTATGTCAAATGCTTTGCTTTTATTGAGAAAAAATCAAAACAAAAAATGCGAACGAACTTATTACACGACCTAATATATAAGAATTTCACAAGCGCAAAGCACACCTTTGCTTTTTTGGTTGCCAGCAGCTCAGAATCTCCGGTGTGCGTCGCAGAACAGTCGCTGTATCATAACAGAGGTTATATGTAGCGCAATAGAGGTCCTTAGGTTGACAAAGCCTTTGGCCTGTTTAGGCTGAGATTTTAGACGAAAACTTGCGAGTTGTACTCGTGAAATCAAGGTAGTTATCGTGACTAGAGTTCTCGCAACTTGTCACGTTTAGGCCTTACCCCTTGCTGAAGCAGAAGTTTGAATAGGAAGGTCACCGCTAAGCAGAATGTGTGCCCTTTCATCAGCCCAAGGGTTACTAGTATGCCTTCAAAATTTTAAGGAACTTGAAGGATAACGTTATTTTGAGACATCTTTTTTGAATAAATGAGAATTAGTGCCACAAAATTGGAGCGAAATGCTCGATTTTTCAACACTGTTAGGAAGAACATTGTCGGAGAAAAAATTTTTAAAAAAACCTGAAAAGAGCGAAGAACATTTACAATTTGAAGGGAAGAGCTTTTACAAAACGTCTCAGACCTTGCTGTTTGAATTTTTGATTGCCTACTCATTTCTTGGAAGCCCTGTTCCGGATTACTTTCTGATAGCATAATTGAAAGACAGCGCAACAGCGCATTGCCACGTTCATTGAACTTGTCATTATTTTGAGGATGGGCCCAGAGGATCGCTGCTCCTTTTAAGCGACCTGCCGTTTTTTTTAGATAACGTAAAGGTGCGCTGGGAATAGCAGTCTGATCATGTTTCCTATGAGGTATGGACGTTATGAGTTTTTCCATACCCCGAATCGCCAGCAGTGGTTTGTCGGGAAATTCTTCATGATAATTTGCTTGATTTTACCACTAATAGCACTGTCATATACAATTTCTTGGTACAGGTCTGAAAATTTCATTAAGTTTGTTTTTTATAAGCAAGGTGATGACTGCTGAGTGTTTCAGTTTTGGGACTGCAATATGGAGAATAAAGTTGCAAACGCCATTAATCCGGCGAAGGGGAAAATGACTTTGACCAAGAAATATGCGCAAAACTATGTCATGTAAGTTTGCTATAAAATACAATTTTTTAAAATACGATTTCAAGCTGTTGCAATGCTCCCATTTTATTGGTTAGCGGAGTTCATGGCGCTCTCGCCTTCCTTCTGTTTAGCCTTTTCTGACTATTTTGAAAGGAATTAGCTAAATACTTTAACAATCAGATGGTCTCGACTGCTCTAAGCACTTGAACGCATTAGTATCAATATGCCTACAGGGTTTCTGAAATTCTGGGTTGTCCTGAATGTTAACTCCATTTACAAATAAATTAAGCTGTTTTTGTTTTTTCTAGTAGACTTAGGGTACCATTCGGTAGAGAGAAGCAAGCTTTACAAAAAGACCATCAAAGGCCCACCTGAGCTATAAACCAAGTAAAACTGGAGTCAAAAATTAAATTTTTTCAGCTACTCTAAAAATCGGATCTTCTTCCAGAAAATACTTACGAAATTCCAACATGGTTTTTGTATAGTAGACCCTTAGTAGTACCAAAAAATGTATTTGGTGGGTTTTTGCGGGGCTCAAAAATGAGAAACAAAATGGTCCGAAAATGTTAATATGTCACTTTTTTCTTCGTGTAAAACCTGTATTTCTCGATTATAAGGAAACGTACAGTAAAGTTTTAAGATTATACTTACAAGGGAATGGCCAGAAGTTGAAGCGGCCAATCCAAACAAGCTGCAAACGTTCGATGCAGCATAGAACGCTGATTTCAAATCTGTCTTCCATATATGCAGAGCGCCTTTGTAGGCGAAGTTATGAGAAGCTTTAGTGCGAAAAAATCGTACACAAAAATTGTGAAATTAGGCACATTATTGCTCTTTCAGCTCACCTCTAGATACGGGCCATATGAAGTGAGCTACTTGCATGTTTTGGTTCAACACTGAGCCAAGAATGGCTTTGTACGGCCAAGTCTGCCCTTTACATGCACATCTTAGCAAAATAATGCCTTTAACGGCGTGTAATATCATCCACAAAATTGCTCTGCAGATAAGGAGGACAGATTTAGAATGAGCGTTCTAAGCTGAATCTAATGGTATGCAGTTTGCTTAATTTGGCCACTTCGTTTGCTGACCATTCCCTTGTTAGTAAAACCTGTAGCACACAAGTGTGGGAGGGGCTGGGGGCAGAGTTTCCTATTTTTGGAGTATTTTTTCTTGCTTCCTATGCGCGGAAACATCTAACAAAAGCAAATTTGAATACTACTGTGTGCCTACTGCAGAATGACAAAATAGAAGGTCGGTAGGAATTTTTCCTCGCAAAATTCCGATCAGGTGACAATTTTTTTTTCGATTTTGGCTTTAAACTTTACCTGAAATGCGACTTAAAGGCATCGTCTCGGCAGATTTTGCATTTCCATGTTTTTGCATGTTTTGGGCCTTCTCGACCTGTAGATCCCGAATCTGAGCATTGAAAGGGGTGAAAAGGCTTTTTTCGGGGCGTCTTTTTCCAATTTCCAAAAGGCAGCTCGGCCGAGAATTTCAAAGGAAAGTCGGGAGGCCCTGGCACGAAGACCCTGCTGCCTGCAATTTTGGCTTTGTATAGCATGCACAATGCGGGGAAGCGGTTGGGGGGTCCCGCGCCGTCTAGCGGAGAATACTCGTCCGAACAAGGTGTTAGAGGAGCGAAAGGAGGAAGGAGAGCGGCGCTTGGGCCGCCCTCCTGGCTTGCAGAGTTCAGATTTTCGGCGCGGAGTTGCTGTTCTGGTTCACTTGAAGGGCCTCCTATCCATCTGTGTCAAAATCTGAGGTAGGTCAATCTGCCGAGCCGTTGCCTTTAAGCGGATCCTTGGCAGCCGTTTTGTAGAGCTTGATCTGCTTTATCGAATGTACCATGAGTCTATCAGAAAATAAGAACAGCTTGAATTATTTATGAGGAGGACAACCTCATAGTAACCAAACGCTTGAAATGTTAACGGTTAGATGGGTCCTCTCCTGCGTTTTATTGCTTGAGCTTGAAGAGTGAAGTTAAGGTGTATCTTGTGTGAGATCACTTTATGTTCGTACGAAGTGTTTGAGTCTAGTCTAGTCTCAAGAATCTAGTCTTGCTCTATGCCAGCGTTAAATTTAACCTGGAGAGCCATGTTCATGAGTACGGGTTAGTCGCTTTTTGGGGGTAAGGTTTACCCTCAAGGGTAGATTTGCCTCTAAGATTCGTTGGTCGATACGGGTTAGTCGCTTCTAGAGGGTAATCTCTACCTACCCTCAAGGGTCCGTTGGTGAAAACGGCCAGAATTTTGAGGGTAAAACCTAGCCTTGAGGGTAGGATTTACTCCCACGGTTCGTTGATGAATACGACCACAGATGTCTGCGCACTGTCGTAACCCGGAATTCAATATCTACCTATTTTGAAGAGATATTTGCTCACTTATTCATTAGGATTAGTGGTAAAATAATTTTACTGAGGCTTCAAAATGTTGAAGATTTGAGTTGTTTGATGCAGTTATGTCTCGTGCAATTTGTTCAGAACAGGGGACTCCTACACAATCAGTAAAACTCTAAGAAAGAAGCTGAAGAAATATGAAAGATTGCATTAATTTCCAAAAGTTTGCCTCATTGTCTGACCATCGATGTACCTCCATTAGTTCCAAAAATCCTAAGAACTAGCAAAAGTTGGAGTTTATAAAATTGAAGTGTCGTAAGCATAAGCGATTACCTTAGTATTCGTCAGAGGAGTCGAAAACGCACTTGCTGAAAAGGGGTGTAATGCAAGAGGAACAATAGCCAGTGCCAGTCGCTATTGCCGCATGCACTACTTCTCTTACAAACCGCGAATTTTAGGCTAGTAGAACTGAGTAGAGTTAATTAATTGGTAGATGGAATAAGTTTGGTGGAAGCCCGATGACAGGTGCGATTCGATAAAGCTATTATAATAAAAAAGCGAAATATCTGAAGTTTCATCTTTGCATCCTTTCTTGGCTTAATTCAACCTATTTCCGCAACTTATTTCCAAACTAAACAAATCGTTCAACTCCTTGGTCCAATTAAAGCATAAAACAAGAAAATGTGTTCAATTTGCGCCTGGGGAAATTTCAAAGTTCAGATTTCCTGGAAAAGCGAGAGTAACAGAATGTTAATGACACCCGCCAACTATCGTCTCTCTCTTCCACCCTAAGCTGAAAAGAAGAAGAGATCCTGCATCGTACACTGCTTAAATTTCTTTAACTTTTCTCACGGGACATGCAGTTCAGTCCAAGAAACGGAATACTTTTGCACTTACGTGGTACATTCATGAGCTTTGCGTCAAGATTAGCTTTCATAAAACCAAATAATACAACACTAATCAGTATCTAGTCGTTAAGTCTTTGTTGCTACAAGAAATGATAAAACTTCAACTACTAGTGAATCTTGAATAAGCGCTTCGTTTTCTTCAAGTATTTTGGACGCATCAGTTGAATGTTAAAAAAGGAAGATGGTTAACCGTGTGAGAGAACCAGAGAGAAATATCAGACATTCCTGCAAACTGTGCTGAAACGGAGTCTTTGTGCAGTATGGTCAATTTTGCAAGAGAATTTGGAACAGATTCCAATTGAATTCGAGAAAAATTACGAAACCTAAGGGTTCCTTCATACTACGCCGCAGGACGCGTGCTGCGGTAGGCTCTGCGTCTTGTTGTATGAAGAAATCCTAAGAAGCATGGTGCAAGATTATGACAAACATTATGAAAAACAGTTCTTACCGACTTTCACCCTGTGCTGCTTACAAAAAATACTCGACGTATGACAGGCATTCATCGTTTTGTAACGCATCTTCCAAATTCAAAGTAGATTGTAAACGAAAGAAAAAACGGTGTTCTACGACGTAATGTGTACTTGAGAAATGGCCCGCTAACTCTGAAAAATTCTTGAAAGCATTGATTGGATTTTCTAGATTCAATACAACCGCAGTGGGAACAGGTGCAGGTGCAGAAGCATATTCTAAGGTGGCGAGAGATGAGTGGCTTAAAGAATTGACATATGCCGGTGGTCTCGATAAGAATCAAACGTACAAGGATGGTTTGGATTTCTTTGCTAACGTAAGTTAATGCAAGCTATGTCGAAAGCATGTGTTAGTTTTTATCACAAATTGAAACTTGCAAGATTTCGTTTGAAAAAAGTTTAGATGGTCAATGCAAAGGCTACAAAAGTGGCATGCGCTTACAAGCCAGATGGAAGCAATATGCATTACTCATGCATCTTCAACGTGTAAGTGTCCCTCTAGAATCGAATACGTTCTAATTAGATGTAGACTATCTAAGTATCGGGCTAGACTGTCACATCCTTTCCGCACTTCAAAATCGGCTGAAAAAACACTTTGATCACTATTGGAGTTGTGTTTTATTGGCTGGACATCATTTTCCTCATTACTATAACATTTATTTTTGCATTCGCAGCCTGGAAAAGCTGATACATGAGGACGAAAATAACGAGCGTTTTGCAAGACTTTGAGAGCTGTTAATACTTCTTAAAATTGGTTTTAATTATTGGGTAAAGGTTCTGTGAGATACTGTTGTAACGTAGGTAATATAATCAAGCACAGCTTAAACGAAAAAAGAAAAGCATAGCAGAATGCATCGACGTTCCTATTTTGTCACTTTGAGATTAATTCATTCCGCACAATTTCAGAAACCGAAACTAGCAATATCATGATGGGTTTTTCCAAACCAGATTTATCTTTACTTGTAGTACCCCAAATGGGCAAACCCAAATAAACTACATTTGATATACACACACTGAAGATCAATTTTGTGTTAAACGCATCGCTGAAAACTCAGGCATTAAAGAGAAAAAATAGAAAATCGCTATGCAGTAGTAAGCCTTATTCGCGCTTCTCATAATTGTGAGGGTATTGAATTGAATACGAATCAAGCAAAAAGCGCATTACTTTTGCATTGACCGGATTAACACACAGCAAAATTGTAAATCTTATATTTGACTGGCACTTCCTTACTAACACCCCTAAAAACTACTGCTTCTCATTGTCTATTCTTTCTCCGATATTTTGACTGGAAGACAACTTTGGGCGTTTCGCTTGCCATTACATAAGTTGTTCTTCTTAACTAAGCAGCAGGATGTGTCAAACAGGCTGCAGCAATTGTTCCGTTCAGAAAACCAATCAAGGGTCAGAGTATTTATGAGAGAGGAACTCCATGTACGAAGAATGCGAAATGCACTACGTATCCAGGATCAGTATGTATTACGGATGAGAAGCTGTGCAAATACGAAGGAGACATACCAGGTGGGTGATCGAGCAATCCTTAGGAAAATGCTTTATTTGGATGTTTTTTTTGAGTGCAGCATGTCTTTTTGAGCTCGAAGCTTTGCCAGAAATTGTTTTGGCTCTTTGGAGGAAGTCTGGAAGTCAGAATAATCAGCTTATCTTGTGCTTACCGCTCCTTGATCTTTTGGGTATAAGTATATCCAAAACATTATTGAGTAGGATGAGAAGGTAGAGATTTGCATTATGTGCCACTTCAAAATACTTCAATGGTGATTGGAACAATTCAAGCAGGAAAGCTTTGAGTCCTGTCGATTAGTATACTTCTAGTGATTCTGACTAACAAGATATAAAACGACTTGCCGGGATTGATCCCAACTGTGTGGTCATTATATGCTCACTTTATGCATCACGAAGGAATTCAAGGAAAAGCTTTCATTATGATGTCCACATTCATAGGCATAGAAAATCGAGCTTTGGTATAGGGCATTCAGTCGTGACGATGGCGCGACCGGGCGCAACACGCACGCACTTCTAGCAACCGCATTTTTGATTTTCCGCTCTACACAAATGCTTTTTTCGCTTACACAGGGTGTCCCAAAAGTAAGTGCACACTTTTCAATCGTCAATATCTCTCTTCCCAATAGTCTTTTCTTGCTATTTAATTACCATTCTGTAGAGGAGGCTTCAACTTAGGTTTGTAGTATTGATCGAATCAGCGATCCCTCTTCATTACTGTAGGATTACTGTAAAAACTTCGACAAAGATTTTTGGCCATTGGAAGCCATATTCTGCCTCGGAACAAAATTGAACAAAACAAATGCTCTTATTCTATGGTAATGAAAGCCGCTTATTTCGAATATGAAAGTTTCACTTTACTGTGATGCTTCTTTCCAAGGTTATCCCAGGTAAACCGTAATAACCGAATTTCCCGTTTTGTCAAAAATGTGATTATCCGTCAAAAAAGCTGAAAACACTCGTAAAAAGTTGTGTAGTGGAATCAGCGTGCGCGAAAACCTTAGTGCGCGATTTTTCGAATTTTTTGAAATAACTTTTGTCAGATAGCATATTTCACAATGGTTCCACATGCTGGAAGTTCTTACCGTAATTCTACAATAATAAAGAAGAATCGGCGATTAGATAGTGTAATTCTAAGTTGAAGCCTCCTCTACGATGCTTATTAAATGGCAAGAAAAGACCCATTGGGAAGAGAGATACCGACGATTGAAAAGTGTGCACTTACTTTTGGGACACCCTGTGTAATAGTATTCAGATACTGAAAGTGATTGAGCTGAGCGTTGGGGTGATGCCTCTTTGTATGAGTGTTTCATGCTCTTGTGTTCGCGAGGACCGCAGAACCCGTCGTCACGATTTAAGAAGAACCTATGTTTTCTCATCAATCAGAAGTTCATTGTCAAAAACGCTATCCAGGTTGAAATGCTGTATCTTCGGGAAGAAAAGGCAAGCAAACGTTGAGTGTGGTCGAGTTAGGTTTTACTGGTTTTTTGAATTAGCTGGACAAAAAAGCATGTCGCTTTCATAAATAGAGTGAAAAAAATCTGGCAAATTTATCTGACCATACTCTCCATATGAATTGAGTTTTGTGAGACATCAAAGCAAGTATTACTCGGAGTCAGAAATCTGTTTGACCATTACACGATTAACAATTCGAAACATCCATTAGCTTAAACATGAAGTACCCTAAAATCTCATAGATAAGAGCGGTTTGATTTACCGGTGAAAAATGAATTGGAATAAAACTGAAATTGAATGCAGTCACCCCTCCAACTTGATGGATGGATAAATAAAAATTGGAGAAGAAGTTTAAAAGAAGATAGATGGGGGAGGGGAGGGAGGGGGGAGGGGGGAGGGGTCGCACGGATGGGTACAGGGTCAAGCGTGTTGATGCGATCCTGGACCCTCATTTATGACCCCCCCTTGAAGGTACCCATCCGTACGACCCCCCCCCCCCCCCTCCCCCCTCCCTCCCCTCCCCCATCTATCCCCCTTACCTCCCCTGCCCACATTTCTCGCGGTAACCTGCATAAACGAATGTCAATCTCAAAAAACACCTGCATAAGAACTTCAGTGAGGTTTCGGAAGCAGAATTTCTAGTCCAATGGGTGCGCCCAGCATCTCTAGCACCATACACACCTTCAATAATGTTTGAGATTCTGCAAGTTTACTTTTGAATTTTCAGGCATACTTCAGGCCAGCAAATTCGATTCCCGTATGCGTCACAAATTTTTACACGGAGAACAAAATGACATTCTTGAACTACAAAAGATGTTTTCGACTAAGAAGCTCAGTTCTTACCCGTTCCACAGTTTTTCCTGCGAAAAAAGCCGCTTTAGAGCCGTCCAGAACGACGTCAAAAACATGCATGAGCACGATAGTTTGAAAATTCATAACTAAGGCCAGGAAAAGATTGAGAGGCTGCAAAGAACAGGTTCTGTAGCATACTGCCCAGACTATTCATAGATAATGTTTCAGCCTTTGAGGAACAGTGAGCTCGAAAAAATTTAGATCAGGCTCTCGCAAATTTAGATGCGATCCTAAAAAGCAAAAACTGGGATTTTTGAGCTTAAAATTTTGTAACTTACCAGAGAAGTTATAAAACAGCCTGAAATTCTTATGATAAAAACTAGAGGGATGGCCTCGTATTACAGCAAGTTTGCAGCTAACAAGCTTCAATAGCTCCGGAGAAATTTAGATCAGGCGCAGATACGACCCCCCTTTTCTCATTTTTTGCTACCACATATAAAATCATAAGAAAATCCGCAGTTTATAAAATAACACCAGATTTCGCACAGCAGTAGCAGGGCTTATCTAAAGTACTTGTAAATTGTAAGGGTCGCATAAATGACAGTACAAAAAGATTTACGAATTATTGACTGTCATCGTTGATCTATATGTGCTCTTTTGTCGAGTTTGCGAGTCTTCAGTGAGCCTTCGGAAGCAGGATGTCTACACCAACCGGTACATCCAACATCTTTGTCACACATACATGCCTTTAGTAGCATTTGAGCTTCTGAAAGTGTTTATTTTTTGGATTTTAGTCATGCCAGCAGGGTTTGATCCCCGTTTGAGACAATACTTTGCGGGAGAAATAGCGATTCCCATATAAAAAAAACTAAGTCATAATCTTTCAAAAGTGCAGCAAATGAAGCGAATTTCTACGCTTGCAAATGTTTTCAAATTATTGTTCACTCGTTTTTATTTGATACATTGGTACACGGCATTCCATGAATTTATTGTTAAGAACATGTAATAATTACTTGCTATTTGATTTGCTTTCAATCGTACGGTTTTTTATCCAAACTACCCCCCCCCCTCTTACGACCCACCCCCTCACCGTAGGCCCCCTTTACGACCCCCGCTGCGACAGTCGCATCACACGCTTGACCCTGGATGGGTACCTTCAAGGGGGGGGGGGTCATAAATGAGGGTCCAGGATCGCATCAACACGCTTGACCCTGCTCCCAACGGTCTCCCAGTCTCTCCGATATAAGTGGCGCTGCACTCCATGCATTCGATCTGATAGATCACATCCGCCTTGCCGCAGTCACCAACTTTACCGGATGGACAAACTACGCAGTCTTGGAATCTGCAGTAGTTGTCGTACAACCTGTTTCGTACTAACCGCTTCCTGATGTTGTCACTTGGAATATTGATTAAAATGACATCGTTTTCGAGGTTCGCGTGTTTAATGCATCGTCGCACTATAGCACTAGTCGCGTCAGAGACGAAAGGAAGACAAAGAGGTATTTTCTGTTGGTGCTGGTTGCTGTTGATGGAATTAGATGGTCCACTACGTCCTTTTTGGAACGTGTAGCCATTCATTCGAGCAATATCCAACGCCAATCTCTGCGACTCCTTCCGTTCTTCTTCTCCTGTGCATACTTTCGTTGCTGTTTGAGCATGTTACGAATAACAGCTCTTTTAACAGTAATCGGATATGCGGAACGAGCATTAACCAACATGTTCTTGGAACTCTCTTTGCGATACCATTTTACATTCGCAGCGCCGTTGAACAGTTGGATTTGTACGTCGAGGTAAGGAAGCCAACCATTTTTCGGTTGCTGCCGTGTAAACTTTATGTACTGTGACTGTTGGTTGAGTAATCGGAAACACTCATCCATTTCGGGTTTAGCGGATTTATCTGCAAGCCGACTTATCTGTAGGCCGACTTATTTGATGGCGGACATATCTGCGGGATTTTAGGGTACATGTAATTTCAAACGCAGAATTTGTCTCAAAAAATATTAAAACCATTTTGTGTTACCCTGAACTTTAGGAAAGGTCTTGAAACAGCAACTTCAGAACCCTCTCATGGGTGAAATTAGCAAAGCATTGATTATGTCAGCATTCAAAATAAATATGATGTGCATGATTTACCGTATTTAATAGATTTATCAAATGGATTAAAGAGAGAGAAATGTTCTGTTTTACATCCTTTGATTTTATTACAACCACACTTAAAAACCAAGAAAAAAATCTTCTTGGAAGTCTCTGTAATTACTGATCGCTAAAACAGGCACCAGACTTATCCGCTAGCCGCCTCACTTCTGGTCAGTTCACTGACTGGACCAATAACAAAACGACTAAGCGGCCAACGGAATAAGTCTAGCGCCTGCTAAGGGTGAAGCGTTTTATTGAATAACCAGTGCATCACCTCCGCTTCGCGGAGGTTCGCACTGGCACTACTATCCGTATGCCTTTCTCATATTCGCATAATGATGACTTTGAAACTTACCGCGCGATGCTGAACATCACAAATGAATTGTAAATAACTGCTCATTCTTAAAGCATCTCCACGTAATATCGGTAATTTTGAGAAAGAAATCTTTTTTCGCAAAGGAAAACCTGCGAATTCGAATGAATTATCGAATTTATTTTGGCTTGGTAGTCGTCATAAGGATAGTAGTTACTTTGGGCTACACTTCCGTGCAAAAATCTTTTCAAATTTGAAGTTACAGCCTTGCCAAATCGACTATCTACACGATCACCACTTTTTGGCGCTGTTTTCGCAGAAAAGCAACCTTTTTGTGCCCTTTTGGGTTAGAATTCATGAGGCGCAAATTTACTTGTCAGGCAAATCATGGCCTTGCAAAAAATTCAAATCTGGACTCAGTTTTGCCTGCTTAGAGCTGTGTGGATCCGCTTGACGCACAATTTTTGTAGCATCAACGCAACGGATCCGTACGAAAATTTGCATGATGGGCCTAGATGCTGGAAAGGTGCTATGACCAAAACTTCAGCTCAAGACATTTGCTGGAACTCGCTGTATGAATTTCGTGACAGACAGACGTACACACAGACACACAGACAAACAGACGTAAACAACCCTTAGCCCGTTATTATTAAGTCATAGATCTTTTGTAATTGCAGAAAATATAAGTTATTTTGATTCGATGATTGTCATTGACTGATGGTTAAAGCAGTACCTCCTTTCATCTCCTTCTCTATTTGTCGGAGTCTCCGTTTGTAAGTTTCCCCGGGTGGTAATATGGAACAAAGTGCACCTCATCAGATTCGTCTCAGGTAATTCTAAGCCTGCAGTCGAGTAGAATTACCGCTCAATATAGCGCGCTTGCACTGCAGGAAAATGCGGTGAGCTTTGCGTGTGAAAAAATAGCTACGTTTGTGACTGCGCATTACTAGCGTGGCTATTTGTTCGGGCGCAAATCTTACCTTTTATCTGCAATGCAAGCACACTATAAACAGGGCTCGGCACGAGGTGGCTAGATGAAAATGAAAAAAAAACGAAGTCCCCCTTGACTTTTTGGGAATTTTTACGAAGTCCCCTTTGACCCTCAACCAAATTTCCTCTAAAAACCTGAAAAATTCCCCAAAATCCCCCAAAAAACGAAACGTCGACTAAAAAAAAAAGGTCGACGTCGCCAATTTTCCGTGTCTCTTCGGTCACAAAAACGAAAACCCCCTTTGCTTTTCGTCCCAAAAAACGATAACAGCTGGCTTACAAGCCACCTGTGCCGAGCCGTGACTATAAAAATCGACTTAACTATGCCTTACCTATTCACCGCTTTTTCCTCGAGGTTATGAGCGATTGAAATTACAAAATTGTAAGAGTTCTAATGCATGATATGCTATGAAATTCTGCTTGGGAGTGCTTAAGTAACCTGGTGTTGAATGTAGTGACTTGAAAGATTATACACAAACATCGAAAACATAGATAAGCGTTTTTGGACAACAACTCCTGGAAGTTGTGGCATTGTGGATATGCCAAATTTGGACCTTCAAACGCTCAAATCTTCTCTCAGAAATGTTTAGTAGATATGGAAGGTAGATTTGGAGTCAGCTCAACGAGGCGAATCTAATGACGTGCATCTTATTCCAAATCGCAACGACCTTAGGATCCTCTAGTTGGAACTTCACTCTGCTGTTCCAGCCCTACCTAGGCATGACAAGCCGGCTTTAAAAAGATAAAAAATTGTTCCTTTTCGCCCCTGCATCATACGAGCCGCATAGTGATGCTGCATCGATATCCCATTGATTGGGAACCGAGCAAATGGAGCCTCCTATCCTAAAGGTCCAGTGTTGTAAATTTTACGCGGTCTAACCATCCAGAAATGTTTTTGAGCGAGAACTCAGATAATCGCCGGGGGGCAGGCGGTCCGCAAACTCGCGCTTTTCTGCAGGCGGTCAGCAGAATTTTGGGGCGTGGCCAAAACTTCAGCGGGCGGCACTTTCTTTACGGTCGCATGTTCTGCCAGCGGGCAGCATTACAGCATTTTTTGCAAGCGCTCGGCAGATAATTTCTTTCAGCGAGCGCTGGCCAAACTTTCAGCAAGCGCTCGGACTCTATTTAGGCATTTTCGGGCGTACGTCGAGCGCAGGTAAGACTCTGTGTGGCAGAGGTGTCACCGTTGGTTTAATTACTCAAGTTTGAGGTACTTTCTCTCAGCGGAAAGTACCTGGGGGTTGCGCGGTCCTCCACAAAGGACCGTGCGGCCCTCGAAATTTTTGCATATTCTCGCGGAAAGTCCGGAAGAATGCGGCCACTGCGCCGCAGCTAATCCATAAAGAAACCGCGATTGTTCTTCAAGCATTCGTCTTTAATTTCGCCAACTTTCTTCCAAATTTCTGCAAGCGGGCCGCAAAAAATCAACGAACTATTTTTCCGGTGCGCGCTTGCTCAAAGTTCGCATGGCCGCTTGCCCCCGGCGGTTATCTGAGAAGCTGTACAGGCCGCATCTTCCAGCCTTTTGTATGTCGCGCTAGTCACTCCTGGCTGCCTAGAGTCTTTTCCTTTCGCTAATTTTCTTCCTTCAATGTCAATGAAAGCGTTTCAAAGTTGTGCTTTTATCTGCCAATAGTGCCAAGCATTTTACAGGTAAGAATAAATAAGTTATTAAAATATCGAGATTCTCGATAAGCCCTAATTTGGTTACTGGTTCACAGCATATTTCATGAATTCGACGCATCATTTATATCCTTCTCAAAAACATGCTTAACACTGTTAGGTTAGATAATCAATACCATTTTGAAACTTTAAGAAAAGACAGGGCAGCTGGGATGATCTGAATATGGCATCTAGACTGCTTTTCCCTCGTGTTTAGTATGGTTATAGTAAAGACCAGTAGAAACGCTTGCGGATAGTTAGATGTGAAAGACAAGACACTGCAGCTCTGGAAATGTAAAGCCTTCTTCTGAGCTGCGTTTTTCAACCCAGCGATGTTGATCCAGCGGCCCTTAAAAGACAATGATTCTTCCCATGTGGCTTTGCTATGCTATTCCGATTTGCGTACAAACCTTTCTGCTCATTTTTAGGATGGTATGATATGAGACTTATAGGAAAGGAACCTCAAATGGTAGCTGCGATTAGAGCTCAAGATAGCACATCGTATCTAATCAAAACGCACATAGCTAAATCTTCAATCAGCTGTGATTGGTCTTGCAGGCGGCTAGTATTCAATTATATACAAAGATATTCGTTACTATCAACTGTGCGTCATCACGAAGCATTTAGTGGGAGAGCTTTTTGATTATAGTACGTCGGTGCTATAATCAAAAATCTGTTAAAACTACTGGCTTTATAGCCTTCATCTTACAACACAGCTGATTTGTAATGTATCACTAACTGCAATAATATTTGAGGTTTTGATAAATTTGACGATTAGTTTTCTTACTTGTTTTGTGAGCGATGATATATTTATCCTGCTGATTTTTTCTACACATGCAAAAGAACCAAACCAAGGTTAGCAAGACAGGCAGGTGCAAAACCGATGGCGCGAAAAGAACACAATTTTGATTTTGCCGCAAACACAAATTTCATTGAGATAAACTCAAATGTCCTAAAGTGTTGGCGAACTCTTACGTTTCAATACTTTATGGGCTCGTTTTGTAGCGTCTCAAACATTTTCCTCTTAGCTTGCAAAATCCACGGTAAAGGGTCTCAAGAGCATGTTTACGTTGCACTTATCAGGGTGCGGTTTATTCACATAAAGCTAGGCTACTTCATTCGCGAAGCCTCTCGCGCTAAATTCCACGTTCCAAACAGTTGAAATTGTCGAGAATACTAGAAAAATGGTTTGCGGAGAGATTAGAGAGAGACTAAGGGCCGCATGCACTAACATGGCCGCGGGGAGGGGATCGCAGCTTAAAAGAAAGCTTCATATTTCGAAACTCCAGATACCTGGATTTCATGTTGTGTACCTATCCGTAATTATTCCTACTATCCTTCACTATGAACATGTTGATCAGGAGCGAGAAGCTGTACAAACCGCATTTTCCAGCTTTTGTATGATCCCTGATGATCCCCGGCGCTTTTCTTTAAAGTCATTTTTCTTTCTCCGAAGTTAACGAAAAACTTCCAAAGTTGTGCGGTTATCTAACCCAACAATGCTAAGCATGTTGCTGATAAGAACAAATGATGTTTTGAAGTCATGAAATTTTCGATGATCCACAGGTCGAAATTTGGGGTTTACCGAAAAATTCGATTTTTCAAAAATTCATTTGTTCTCATCAGCAACATGCTTAGCACTGTTGTGTTAGATGTTTAGTACAACTTTGGAAGGTTTTCGTTAACTTGGGAGAAAGAAAAATGACTCTGAAGAATAGATGTTCGTCCCCCAGGGATCATCAGGGGATCCTACAAAAAGCTGGGAAATGCGGCTTGTACAGCTTCTCGCTTCTGCTCAATATGTTCATAGTGAAGGATGGTGGGAGTACTTACGGATAGGTAGACAGCATGTAATCCAGATATCCGGGGCTTGAGGATATGAAGCTTTTTTCTGAAGCTGCGATCCCCTCCCCAGCGAAAATGTTAGTGCATGCGGCCCTAAATTTTTGACCAACTGCTTGATTTTCCTTTCCTCCTTTAATGCACGAACAACGCCTTCCACTCTACAATAAAATCCCTTGCCTTTTTAGAGCCGGAAGTGACTTCAACCGATGCGACAACAGCCACGAACGTGAATCCAACCGGTGGGACAACAGCGACGGGCGTGACTCCAACCGCTGCGACAACCACTGCTGATATAAAACTAGACAATGCATACATGACGGTTGCAGGAAGGACCAAAGTGGTAAACGCACATAATTATAGGAGGTGAGCGTCTTCCCATGTCCTTCAATACTGCTTCTTGTGTTCAACGGTTACGTTATGTTGCTATGATTGTAATGATGTACTTCCCTTTTCAGAACTTTGCTCGCAACAGGTCAGATAAGAAATGGTAAAAATCCAAGCAATGCTAATTTACCAACGGCTGCATTTATGTCAAAAATGGTAAGCGTAAACTTCATTTCTTGCAAAGCTACAAAAAACATTTCAAAATTGTGTCATTGTAGTTAATTTTGAAAATGTCAACGTAGGAGTTTTGCGAGAAAGATTTCAGGAATATGACATGAACCTTGAAGCGCAGGCCATAGAACACGCCAAAGGGTGCTCATTGATAAAGTCAGACGAGTCAACAAGAACAGGAATTGGTGAAAACGTTTATGTGCATAACACAGTGATTAAGGATGCAGTTGAACTTTTTAATATTGTAAGTTCAATATCCATGTTTCAGCAAAATGCATTAACGCAAGAATCGTTAGCAGAAGCGAAGCTGCATCCTAGGATAATATTAGGCTTTGAACATCGTTAGTTCTGTATGCGCAAACCTCACCCTATTTTTTCGACACTTTTTCGGGCGTACAAGTTGCACCCAGTTTGCTCTAAACGCAAGTAAACACATTGAGCGTGCGCCTTGCGAGCCTCGCTTTCTCCTACATTGTGCTCAATCAGTGCGCCCCACGGTCTGTTCCTTTGGACCGTTTGCGTCCAAAGAAATTAAAAGTGGCTTGTACATTAGGTTTTATTGGCAGCGTTCGTTTCAAGCGGAAGTCTCAACTCGTGTTCTTCACTCGTTTTCACGCCTACCTAGAGATTGAAGCTCACTTCCAAGGCTTACCTTGGAAAAATTATTGAATGACACTGTTGCAAATGCTGTGCGAAGACCCTTGCCATCGTGAGACGAGATAAAGTTGCCGTTGACAGACTCAGAATTACTTTGAGACACCACAATCTATAGTGAGCAACTATAGATTATGGTGTGGTAGCAACTATGAGTTCCTTCCTGGAAGATGTATTAGGTCGATTCAAAAGTTGTTCGCTTTGATTTTAAAAAATTCGTAACTGCTCCCTATGTAAACGAATTGAATTACGAAAAGTACCTCCAAATAGGAAAACTCATCTAATTTTTAACCACATCTTTGATGCTCTTTGACGACAAAAGAATCCAGTGATAGTTGCCCATGCGATCGTTTTTGAATCTTGGCATTGTTGATAGTTGTAGATGACTTGTGAGCGCTGCTTCAAGATTGTTAGAGTATCTTTATATACGTTTAGTTTATATAGTTTAGTTTATATAGTTTCTTTATATCTTTATTATATATATTTATTATATTTTCTTTTTTATACGTGCCTTGATGACCCGGCCTCATATTCAAATCCGCATAGGGATTGATAACGCGCGAGCTCCCTCTTTATGGCGGTACACTCCTCCTTCCGGTTCATTTTTGGATTTTTGGCGTTAATCCAAAACGCTCCTGTTTTCGCGTTAAGATCTCGGGTTCTAACGACAAGATCTCTACAGTAACTTGTACAAGAGCCATGCCATGGCGTGTAATACGATGTTCCCCAAATGGCGTAGCTGCCTTTAGCTTATTCAACCGTCTATATGCTCCTTAACGCGACAGCAAAGCGGGCGTCCAGTTTTTTTCCGGACTCCAGTGATAAAAACTCGATTAGGAGAATCACTCTTAAATTCGTGATTTTCGGAAATAAACTGTTAAAACTGTCAAAATGCAATGTTAATGCAAGAAACGCCATCATTGCTGTTTTTTATTTTTCACGAAAACAATAACTTTTCCTAAAAAAGCTTGATCAGCACAAGTTGGCACCATTAAAAAGAGCGGCTCGCAAAACCTCTAAGGCTCCCGCCAGAGTGCCGAAGTTATGCCAGCGCTACGCCAGCATTTCGATCGATACACGTGTGTTTCGTAGGGGCGGGGCTAGCTGACGTCCCCAACGAAATACACGTGTATCGATCGAAATGCTGGCGTAGCGCTGGCACAACTTCGGCATTCTGGCGGGAGCCTAAGAAACCTGCTCACAAATTTCCCTGCGGTGTTTAACACTTTTAACGGTTCATTTTCGAGAATCGCGAGTTTGGGTGGTTTTCCTTTTCGAATTTTTTATCTTTGGAGTCTTTTGTCGTCAAAGAGCATCAAAAATGTGACTGAAAATTAGATAAATTTTTTTATTTGGGTGTATTTTTTGTAATTCAATACTTTCACATAGGGAGCACTTACGATTTTCCAAAGTCAAAGCGAAAGAGCTTGTGAGTTAACCTAATACTCATGTCTCTCGCCGTATTTCTATAATATAAAAAAATCTTTGTTCCAGAGTAAATGTGCTATATAACAGACAAACTGAAACTCAATAAATTTCATTACATAAGTTGAATATGATACGCCCTTGCACATATTTTAGCTATAAGCTAGTTCTAACCATAAGCTTATGCTCTGTACCTGGTTGATTGCTATTGTTTGGGAAGGAAGGAACTTCGTGCTCTATCATATTATGTTAAGCGTCAAAGGAGCACTAAGGAGTCTTATAACTCTAAACGGCAAATTACCTAGTTTGATCTACTCAGATAATCGCCGGGGGCAAGCGGCGATGCGATTTATGGGCAGGCGGGCACCGGAAAAATAGTTCGTTGATTTTTTGCTACCCGCTTGCAGAAATTTGGAAGAAAGTTGGCGAAATTAAAGACGAAAGCTTGAAGAACAATCGCGGTTTCTTTATGGATTAGCTGCGGCGCAGTGGCCGCATTCTTGCGGATTTTTCGCGAGAATATGCAAAAATTTCGAGGGCCGCACGGCCCTTTGTGGAGGACCGCTCAACCCTCAGGTACTTTCCGCTGAGAGAAAGTACCTCAAACTTGAGTAACTAAACCAACGGTGACACCACTGCCACGCAGAGTCTTACCTGCGCTCGACGTACGCCCGAAAATGCCTAAAAAGCCGAGCGCTTGCTGAAAATTTGGCCAGCGCTCGCTGAAAGAAATTATTTGCGGAGCGCTTGCAGGAAATTTTGAATTGCTGCCCGCTGGCAGAAGACGAAAGTACCGCCCGCTGAAGGTTTGGCCACGCCCCAAAATTCTGCTGACCGCCTGCAGAAAAGCGCGAGTTTGCGGACCGCCTGCCCCCGGCGATTATCTAAGTAGAAAGCCGTTTGTGTTCATATTTACTGCGAGTCATGCTTTCTTTATAGGTTGCCATTTGTTGGTGGACGCAAATCTTCCAAGATGGAATCAACAATCAATTGATATTCTCAGAGAACCTGAGAGATAAACAAGCAAAGAAAAACATAGATCAGACAGCCTTCACTCAGGTTGGCACAGCACCGCCTCAGTGGAATAAGAAACAATTTACATATGTTCAGATAGCCTGGGCAAATACCAACAAAATAGGGTGCGCTAGTGTCGATTGCTCCGGAAAGTCCTTCGTTGTTTGCCGCTATAGCCCTGCGTAAGTTTGTGCAGTGTCTTCCTTCTCTTACGCGAATTGCGCATCAAATTTGATATCGTACCTTTTCTCAGTGGAAACATTCTGAATCAACCAATATATCGAATTGGATATGTATGTCAAGGGTGTCAGGGAACTTGCAGTTCGGCTGATGGACTATGCATAATGACCTGAAGAAGGCAGTATTGAAGAACGACACTTCAATAAACTCTGCAGCATTCCGTCTTTTTCATAGTGTGTAAAAGTTTTAGAGTGCGACGTAAACACAAGCAAGTATCGATACTATATTGTAAAGCTCGAAATGGCTTTATCAAAGCGGGGTATAGGAGAGATTTTCAAAAAGAGTGTGAACACAGAGTGCTTTATTAATTCGAAAGAGTTTCAACTTTATTCATTGATCTAAGTAATAGCGTGGCATTTGACTAGGTTATTGCTCCATTCCCGATGCGAAAGTCATAACTTGAAGCTCCAGAAGATGGATGCAGCTAGGGTTGCCACGCTCATCAACGCGGGTGGACTTACGATAATGAGCCTGAAAGTAGAAAGTAGCAGCGGCGGTCCCAGGATTTCCGGGGGGGGGGGAGGCGGCAAAAAAATCTTTTCCGTGAATATGCGTGGCGTCAGCCACGCGCTCCAAAAAATTTTTGGGGTGCTTTTCAAAATTTATGCAGGTCCCTAACTGGAAAAAGGGGGTTTGGCTGACGCCATGCCCCCGAAAAAATTTCCTTACAAAGCTAATTTGAATTTTTAAACTTTTTTCAAAAATTATTTTGATTGTTTACAGAAATAAACAAGTCAGTTGCAAATTTTTATAACACGCGTAAGTAATGCTTCCCTTAATGCAGTACAGGAGGAAAGCTTCATCTACGCAGAGTATCGATAAACGTCTCACACATAGGGCCCGGCACAAGAATGGCAAGCGGACACGAAACGAATTCACCTTTGCCAATTTCGGTACCACTTCCCACTTAATCGAGCCAGCTGCATAAGTTGTTTGACTAGAGCGCGCTTTTTTTTCAGAAGCACCGCCGTCGTTTCTAATTTATTTGAGGAATTTCGAAATTTTTCACCGAATGAAGGAATCTCGAATAAATTCAAAAATAACAATTTTCGAATAAACGAATATCGAATGAATTCGAGATCAAAATTTTCGAATGAATGCCGAATAAATTCGAAAACCAAAATTATCGATTGAATGAATATCGATTATATTCAAACATTAGGAGTCGAATTTCGAATGAATATTTGAATAATTCATCGAATATCTGAATCGTTTATATCTGAAACTTGCTGACATACGCGGCTAAAGCCAATTTACTCAAATTACTTCTTAAATTGAGTAATTAATTCTTAATTACTCAATCTACTCAGCACCCTCTCACCCTATACCAACTCCCAGCCCCCTAGTATCATGTTAATAGTTGGTAAGCCCAGTGTTGAAATGCCTGCAAGCTGTAAAACTTTTGAGCGCACTGTGATAACAAAACTATTATGTAATTATGTAATATCTACTGAACGAAACTTGAAACGGAATGCGTACAAGGCAAAAAGAGAGGTGACAGTATAAACATCAAAGCGTAAGCGTTTATTTGCGCCTTTGAGGTCTATCCACTCATTTTTTAGCACAACATCTCGTTGCATATTATATTATAAAATGAAAAACCTGAGCTGGAAGCTTCGTTCAGGTATTGTAAAAAGCAATAAAGAACAGCAAAAACAGATATGTTTTGGGTGAACGAGTACGCTGATTGTTGTCTTCTTATAGGCTGTTGCATGACGAAGGCGCAATATCTTTAGGCGCGAATGCGACTTTATAAGCCGCGAAGAGCATGAGGCGCAAGATTCACGAAGGTGAATATGCGCGCTCCGCGTTGGCGCCCGCCCAATTAACTGTTTCTGCTCCTTCGTCATGCACTAACCTTTAGATCTCGTAATTGATTTGGTCAGAAAGGAAAGGAAAAGTAAAACGATGAACGTCAAAAACTTTGCCATTTGAGATTGATTACAGGTACCTACGTTTTGCACTGTAGAACCGGTCTGATGGAATAGTAGTATTTGCCAAGTGCTCAACCTCACCAAGGGGACAAAGAATAACCCTCTCTAAAGGGCCGGTCATATCGGTCAGCGATCGATCCCCGCAATGGATGATCGTCGCGACTGGGTGGAAACTAGCGACAAAAACGCGCGACGGATCGCTGATCGCTTGAATAAGGGGGCATACCACCGCGGCGATGTGTGCATTCTCACACTACGTCACATAAATCACTTTCGCACAAGCTCAAATTTTGTACCAGCATAAACTTCTCATATAAAAGTCATGAATATCTGACAATCACTGAATCCAGTGCAGATTAGCCGCGGAATATGTACAACTAGCTCCTGAGAGTTCACAAACAAAAGTCATGCCCGTGATGAGGATACTGAGGTAATAAAGAACACAAAGAAACGTTATAATGGTTAATAGTAGAGCCGTACCCACGAAACACACATCAGTTGAAAACCAGATAGCTGGCAAATTTGGGAAGTGTGCAAGGCATTTAGCGTGAGTGACAATTGCTGATAAATCAAAAGGCTTCCATTTCACGGAAAACCAATGCACTTTGACAAAACTAAAGTTTCCAATCCCCAGACACGAGACCAGCTTGAGAAAGTGAAGAACAATCATAAAACTTTCCTGGAAAGAAATCCCAATCCTAGCAATCCATCGCGTTGCGCATTTGAAATGAGCGACGCGAATTCGCTAGGATGAGCGACGATCGCGGCGATTTCGCTCAAATCGGTATGGACGGGTAGAAAACGGCCCGCGATGCATCGCGCCGGACAGCCAGCACAGATACGCAGTTATCTCCGGCCTTGTAACACTTGTCTTTTGGGAAAGTCAGCGACGCGATGGATCGCTGACCGGTATGACCGGCCCTTAAAGTATTCGCTGCCACTTGCTCGCAAGCTTAGTGAGGCCGCTTTTATCCTTCGGCGCACTTTTAATGCTTTTTTCGAGGAACGGTCTGGCAGAAGGTCTCGCCGTCAGCTCGACGTCAACTCAACGCAAAATTATTGTGATCTAAGGTCCCACATCTCTTGCCCAAAATCAACTAGTGTTAAACTATAACAACTTGTGTCTCTATGTGCAACAACAGAATCGACCCTATTTGATCTTTCAGCAAGGTGCTTTAGCTTTTCTATCTAAAGAGTGAGGTCCGCCTCTCTTCGGCTGCGCTCGTTTAAACTCCCGAGAGCGTACTCCTTGCGCTCTGGCAGGTAAAACTTCTATCCATTTGTATTTATATTTATACTCTGCGGTCAGATCGGCCTCTCTTTTCCCGCAACTAAAGATTGGTAGATCGGTGATCCGCGCCTTCTAACATATGAAAGGATAGATTGGTAGATAGGTGATCCGCCATCCAACATAATTTTGATTCCCGTGATGGAGATCTTTGAAACGCTGCTCATAAATATTACATCGCACCCTGAAGATCTTTGGCAAGGGGTATATGTCAAGAATAATGATGGATGGCAACAGAAGCACCCTTTCCCATGGCCCGTAGTAATCTATCCTTTCTGAAAAGGCGTACCGAGGGTGGCACCTCAAAATTCTTGCGGGCCCCCAACCCCAAAATCTGGAAAAGGGGGCGTGGTTTTTTTATAAGGCTAATTTGAATTTTTAAAAAAACTTTGAAGATTATTTTGATTGTTTACAAAAATAAATAAGTCACTTACACGTTTTTATAACTCATGTAAGTAATTTTCAAAAATTTCGCGACCCGTTCTCGGCTGACGCCACGCACCTTACTTGAAAAAAATTTTTGCCCCCCCCCCAAGCAGAAATATCCTGGTACGCCACTGCGTTTCTGGTATCCTCAAATTGCGATGCTTTTTAAAAATACGCGACGTTAGGTTAACTAGAAACTAACTAGAAGATATACATGTCAATCTTCATTACTTCTCGTACTCCTTTTCTGTTATTTAGCATCTTGAATGATGATGCCGTGATGCCAGTGAGTGGACGAGTGTGCCAATTTTGCACAGGAAAAAGCCCATAACTCGCTTCGGAAAGGAGCGCGGCAGCTAGGAATAGCATTTTTGGAATCGGCTTTCGAAGTTGATTCAGAATACAATACCGCTCTCAGAACGTGCAAAATTTCCGTGAATGTCGCGGAATTCCCGGAATTCCGCGAAGGTCCGCCAAATTTTTGGAATTTCGCGGCATTCCGGGAATTTCGCGGAATTTTTGGAATATCGCCATACCTTGCTTGAAAAATTGCTAAAATGGTTCATGAAGCGTGAATACGCTGGGTTTCGCCACGCCCGTTAAGGCATTCAACATTATGATCATCATCTAAGCTGATGATCGTAATGCTGAATACGCTGGGTTCGCCACGCCCGTTAAGGCATTCAACATTATGATCATCATCTAAGCTGATGATCGTAATGCTGAATGCCGAACTAAGTGCAGAATACCTGAATGGAAGACGAGGTTTTTGAAAATGTAAGGCGGATTCTCGACATTTCTAGGTACTACTCACTCTAGTTTCAGGCTCAATATCATGAGCCCACACGTGGAGCAGCTACTTACAAGAGAAGCTACCTAACTTAGCCTCAGCCTTTTGGAAGGGGACATACATACAATACCGCTCTCAGAACTTGCAAAATTTCCGTGAATGTCGTCCGCAAAGGTCCGCGACATTTCCGGAATTTCGCGACATTCCGAGAATTTCGCGGAATTTTCGGAATGTCGCCATAACTTCCTTCGGAATGCATAAATTCTGGATCTAAAACAAGGGTTATACTCAGCTCATTAAGGCGAATCTTTTGGTACCTTGCCTTACCGTAATTCTCGGGGCACGATTGGTGCACGGTAGGAGATAAATTCTGCTTCTTGGGGGAGAGGAGGTGAACACAATATTCGTGTCCAGTACTCGAACCCACCCTTTCTAGTAATAGGTGCCTGAAGCTACTAAACAAACAGAAGAGGGGAAAAACAACATCGACGGCATCATCACGGCATGTTCGCATGTTCTAGAACCAACCACACCGAATACCACTCATTACTCTCTCCCCCCCCCCCTAGAATTTCAGAAAAATCGCAAAAGGATTCACTTGCTGCCGTACACCCACCTTCCCTCTAACAAGGGAATGGTCAGAAATCGAAGTGGCCAATCCAAACAAGCTACATGCCATTCGATGCAGCATGGAACGCTGATTTCAAATCTGCCTTCCTTATC